ATTCTTAAAAAAAAATTTATAGAATTTCAAAGAGTTAATATGCATCATACAATTATAATATATTATCAATTATAGTCCACTTCTAAATTAGAAAATAGATCTGATTAACCCTCCGTCAGTCGGAAATTTATTTACCTTCGAACGGTCGGAGTAGTCTGGCTGGACCACACATTTTTTCATCCTGATTTTTTCATTGATCGACAGCTAATGAAATTTTAGAAAATGTCCAGAAATTTCAAGTCGATAGGATTACTAAAAGTTTTTTTTTTAACCCTCCGTCTGTCGGCGTGGTCTGGCCAGACTTTTTTCGACTTCAATTTAAAAAAAATAATACTTCTAGTAATTCTATCGACTTGAAATTTCTTGACTTTTCTTAAAAATTTCATTAGCTGTCTAACAATGAAAAAATCAGGACGAAAAAATGTATAGAAGGATAATTATAAGGATATTAACTTTTTAATACTTCGAACGGTCGGAAAGGTCTGTCTAGACCACCCATACATTTTGTATGAAATATACGCTTTTTGATATATGTAGGCCAGTATTTTGTCTTTTTTCATGGTTTTTCTATTCAAACTGAAACCTACCAAACTTATTGGTAATCGCAAACACTGAAAATCGGATGAGTAATGCACACGTTATCAAAAAATTTTCTACCCGTATTGCGTTCGAAGTTTTTTTTCGGCAAACCTGTAGTGAAATTATATTTTCACTTTGAGTTTTACAGCTCATTTCAAAGGCAACGCACCTCATTTCGTTTTCGTTTGGAATTTCACATTCATTTTAAAGGCGCCGAAAAAGAATAAATATAGTTTTTCATTGATATAAAACAGAAAAATTAACAAAAAAGCAACGATTTTTTTATCTTTCTTGATTATTTTATATAATCGTTAATATATAAGACACCAAAAACTAATTTATCCGATATAAATGCATGTAAAATGAATGGTGGTCCAGCCAGACCTTTCCGACCGTTCGAAGGTGTAAAAATATCCGACCGACCGAGGGTTAAATTGAAGCCGAAAAGAGTCTGTCCAGACCACTCCGACCGACGGAGGGTTAAATGAGATAAAGCAATTTCAATATAAAATTAAACTAGGATTTTTCAAGCAAAAAGTACTAAACCAAGTTATTATATTAATTTTAATAATTTGGTTATCATTAGAGTAATTTTCTCAGTAAATTACTTCGTTCTTGGAAGACTATTACAATGTTATTATTTTATATTTGAAGATATTAAATATAATACTATGTTACCAAATGCTATGCTGATAAACTTTTTTCAATTACTAGGATGTCAATAATTAACATATTACTAAACAAACTGAAATCACATAGTAATTTAAATTAAACCAAGTCTAGTTTTAAAATATTAAAGCATGTATGTAAAATCATTGTATATTATATTTATTAGGTTGTCAAATATCTCCCTTCCGCTTTTTTGCTCTTAGTTTAATACAAAAAGGCGGAAGGGAGATATTTGACAACCTATTATTTAATAAATATGTTATATGTAGGTCCTTATATAAGTTCAATAGTGTATAATAATTTAATGAGTAGTATGATCTATTTTAATTTATGATTTATTTTAATGAATAGTATGATCATGTTTCTTTGAATTCCATTCAATAATTTCTTTGAAATAAAATGAACATGTTATAAAAATGATATAAATAGATTACAGTGGTACCTCGACATACGAGTTAAATTCGTTCAGTAACAACGCTCGTATCTCGAAGCGCTTTAATCATATTTATATTTCATTTCATATTATATTGAAATGCCGCTAATTCGTTTTAGCACTGTGGTTTTTGTTAAGTATTTTGAACATTAAAAATAAATTTACTTATATTTATGCATTTGGAGTTCTATAACTATAAAAGCGACTAAACTTTTTCAAGTTGCAGAAAGTCATCAATTAATCATTATATCACTTAAATAATTAATTAAATTTGTCTTAATGATAAAATACATAATGCATTTAATACAATTTAAAACATTATTATTTGTTATTTTACTAATCTCCATTGACGTAATTTGAGTTATTTAACCCTTTGAGTGCCGGGAGCCGATATATCGGCTCCTGCTACACTCGCGAGAAGTGCCAGAGCCGATATATCGGCCCGCGCCTTTTAGCGCTTTACTATTCGCATTGCGGGAGAACTCTATCTCAAAATAAATTTGTAATACGTTATAAATGATCTAATTTCACTATGAGAGAATTAAAAAAAATAGTTTTTCGTTTTAACTCTTTGTGGACGACGACCTTTTCCTATCGCTTGGAGGTACCGAAGTCTAACATAAACACCGATGGTAAAGTACGGAAACTGCCTGGAAAACTGGAAAGGGTTTGCGTGGTGTGCAGCAGAAAGGATGATGGCCCAAAGAGAAAATCACGCACAGTTTGCAATAAGTGCAACAAAGGATTGCATGGAGTGTGCATTAGTAGCCACGAATGCTAAATAAATTATTTGTTTGAGTTGCAATAACAAAATTTTACACATTTGCAATATATATATAATATTTATGACAACATAATTTTGTTTCAGTAATGTTATATTACCGATAACAATTACATATTTCGAAAGAGATAATCCGCCTGGCGCCTACCGTGTACCTTCAAGTTATGTTTTATTTTTGTTATGTAATATTGTTTATCTTGTTACAAAATATATTGGAAATACAAAGTATATACTTCATTATAATTGACCCATATAAAATTGTGGTGAAAAGATGGCTGTTTTTATGTGCAAACACGTTTTGTACGAGAGAACTCAACTTTTACTTCATTTATAAACATAAATACCTTTGTTTTTACTATAATTCTCAAATGGATACAAAAAAACTAGTGTCATTGTTTTGTTCTGTATTTAATCTATAATACGCAGCTTTTTGAATCATGTAAATATCGTTTCTCGTTTGGTTTTTATAAGCATTTTCCCGAACCCTTGTAAAACTGTGATATTCGGCCTGTTTTTCTCGCATAGGCACCTCCATTTCGCCCGGCACTAAAAGGGTTAAATACTTTTAACTCTGTTTTATTTTAGCAATCAGAAAAATATACAGATTTCTGTGAGCAAAAATGTGATTTGAATTTAAAATAATTTCTGTATAGTAAAAATATAATCATGCAAATATTTTATTTATTAACTTGCCTTAAGATAAGTTATATAAAAATTTATACATATTGTTGTAAAATTGATGTATGTATGGGTGTGTGTGTATGTATGAATTCAATTTTACGACCAGATAAACTTTGAGTAATTAGATTGATAATTACCAATGTTTTTTGAAAAATAACCCAATGATCAAACTCTTATATGTGTACTATACATCCAATGTTTCTTTTATATGCAAATATTTAAACGTATATAGATCATTCATTATATTTACTTCTAAATTAAAATAATTTAAGTTTTATTTTTATGATTTATAAATAAAACTATATAATGAGTTCTTTGTATTTTATTGTAGATTTTACGAGGGTTTTAGTACGGATTTGTTTATTGTATATATTAATCTTTGTCTATACATGATCGTAATAATTGTATGTTTAAATATACGAAAGACGCGGTTGAATAATTGTTGAATTGGTTGATCTTGTTTTTTTTTTTATCAAAAACTCATTTTCGGATAAACCTATTTTAACGGCTCTATATAAATCACAGAATTTATCATAAATATCCATGAATTGTTCAGTGGGAATAGAAGTTTTCACAATTAATCGATTTGCATGCATATAGAATAAAATTCTATATAATTTAGCATAAAAGTTCTCAAAACACATCAATATCATGGCCATATTTTTTTAAGTCAAAGCCGAGACAGTAATTTTTAGTTATGACGGGGGGGGGGTGAATACTAAAAAATTTAATATGATTTTAAAATAACTAACATTATTTAAGAATGCAATAGAAATCCGATAGTTTTCAAACTTATTATAAAATTTTGTTCAATTTTCTTCACAATAATTTAAAAATAATTAGCACTTATAGTGTATATATAGGTATTCCAGGCAGTCAAGAAGTTCATTCTCATAATTTTTGTTAATTTTCGTAAAATTTAAAATTTAAGTTCAAAATTATGAATGTTAGAGGCTATTTTAACTCGCCTTTTTCATATAAGCATACTAGCTGTACATAACATTTTCAGATATTTGATAAGTAGTTGCAATTTTATTATCAAGTAAGAGCAAAGATTCAATATAGGCCTAAACTTTTCGAAAACCTGGGATAATCCGGGACAAAAGATTTAAATCCGGGACAAATTTTGCTTTTAGAAAAACCCGGGACATAAGATGGAAATCGGCCAAACCACGACTTATAAAAACTAATTTATTTTACAATTGTTCTATATATGTGTTTTATAAAAATCCAGTTATACAGCATCGTAGATGGGAGCAATATCATATAACAATCCCATTTGTGGTTAAAACTTATAATATCGTGAGCAATATTTATGATTTTGTGCTTTTGTTCAATGTTATATATATACTATGGTATATTAACAGCCGTTCATAGAAAATATACTTTATGAACTGAATAAAAACGCAATGAAAAAAAGCTGTAATATCTGTCTTGTCTAAAAAATATTTTCCATTTTAATAACTTCAAAGATTTATAGAAACTACAAATAATACAGAAATAATTTCTAATCAATAAACTTACTAATCATTAATCTTAATAAATAATCAACAATTTCAAGGAACAGTGTAAAACATTCTTCTGATTCAGGCATTTTTCAATCAAGATTTGTACCACGATGTAACTTTAAAATACAACAACAGATCTCTTTTCACATACACGACGACTAATCACAATCGACTCGTATAGAAATGATTTAATCGAAAGCAAATGACGTACAGTTCTGGCGTAACGGACTTCCTTTGCATTTGTACGGATTTACACCCTAGTCCCGCCTAAAGAAGTTTTACTTCAAAAAACCTTAGTGAGGCGAATAAGAGAACATACATATCAAAGTATAAAAAACCAGGTACTTACAATCGCCAACAATCGTCCTCTTATCGTCAGTCCAATCGTAGGCTTGAATTTGACTTCGACTCCGGCTTCTATCCTGAGTTCGGCTCCTCTCTCCACAATCCAATCGTCCAGGACCAAGTAGGGGCTGCCGGCTTTGTCCAGGACCCTGGTCGTGCTCCCGCCGATGAGCACACCACCTGGTATCTCGGTGTACTTCTTACCGCGAGGCGGTAATGTGTACAGGGTCTCGTATAGCGGTTCATCGCTAGTCATCGAACTATCTTCTAAGGATTCCCTGTTATAACTGTAACTGGCCGAAGTCCTTTCTGTATTTGTAATGCACAACACCAGAAACACGCTCAGCCACTTTCTTACACAAATTATTTTTGCCATGATTGTGTAATTGTTAGATCAAAGTCATTATTTTTAATGAATTTTTTATTATTTTAATGAATTTTTGTTTAATATTGTCATTGTTTTTGATAATGGATTAATTTGGCGCAAAAAAATCACAGAACATTCCTACATCAAGTTAAAATATAATTAATAAAAGTTTATATATTTCTTTGTGTTGATAAAAATTCTGAGTATTAATAGTTGATACAAAGTATTAAAGAACGTTAAAAATTGAATTTCCAGTATGAACCCGATAAATATATAGAAATATAGATATAAAAATATATCAATATATATTAGGTCTACTAGAAAGTTATGTCAAAATTATGAGATGATCGGCTTTGTATTTAAATAATGTTGATTCGCATTAGTCTTAAGTGCGAATCAATATTATAACCGTATAATTGTATTTCATACGAATTTTAACAAGAAAGAAATGCTATAGAAGCATGTAGAAAATTTATTAAAAGTTTTTTTTGTTATAATTTATTTTTGATTGTACAGTTTTTGATAGGATATGGAAAAGAAGATGCAAAAAATTTGAAGCAGGTGATTTCGACAATTCTGAACCGAGCGAGCATCTCTGATCGACGACGATGTTGTTAAGGTAATTTTGGAGCTAGGTTCTGACAACATTGGAGATCGCAGAAAATTTTGACCATATTCGAAAAATAGGATTGGTGTAGAAATATACAAGATGCGTGCCATGTGAAAAGGTCAGAAAAATTTGGATTTTTTTTGCTTGCTCAGAACAAAATCGAGCCCTTTTAAATCGAATGATAACGGGGCATAAAAAATGGATTATTATAAATTATTAAATGGAATAAATTAAATAGACTTTATATTATATTGTAGTATAATCTCTATGATACCACCTCTAATTAACATTTGTTTTTTCTTAATTTTTTAACTTCCCGTAGGGTAAGTTATTGTAATGGGCCGAAAATCGGAATTGAAAATTTTTACATTTCTCGACGTTTTGAAGGCTTCTGAACGTTTTGGCATACCTCAGAAAAAATGGATGTGTGTGTGTGTGTGTGTGTGTGTGTATGTATGTATGGATACAAATTTTCGTCCACGTTTTCGGGCGTACGGATCAACCGATTTGAATGGTTTAAAAACATTCGATTCCTATTAATAAGGTGAAGAGCTGATTAGTTTTTGGCAAAGACAGGTCCAGCAGTTAAGGAGATAAGGAGCAAAGTGCAGAAAATAGAAATCGAGTTTTTGAGAGAACGGAGCATCCGATTTGAATGATCTAAAAACATTCCATTAGTAATGATTGGGAGAAAGGGTTATTAGTTTTTCGCAAAGGCAGGCCCAGCCATTTCGGAGATACAGAGCTAAATGTACAAAAAATGGCAGTTTTTGAGAGAACTAAGCGTCCGATTCAATTGATTCAAAGAACTTTCTGCTTGTCTTAAAAAAATAATTGATTTTGAAAAAAAAAAATTGTACCATTTTTTTTTTTTTTTTTTTTTAATTTTTTGTATGTCGAAAATAATTCAGATTTTATTTTTAATTCTGACTATAGTTCTAATATACTTTAAACAAATAATTTCAACTCTGCAATTCAGTTTATATAATTCTTATAAATATTAGACAATAATAAAATATTTATAATAATCTATTTGAAAACATTCAATATTCCTCGAACGTTTCGTTACGGTACGGTAAGTTCCAGCAATTTGCCTTAAGGCACGATGCCACCCACCCTACTAGTTTGTTTTTTGACTGGGCAAAAAAATAAAAAATCGAAAGAATGTGAATTAAGTACTGGTTCAATTTTTCGAATCTAAAAATTAAACATTTTACAAAAGATGGGATAAACAATTCCTCTCATGCTATTATGAGATCATTAATAATAATTGCAAAATTATATTATTCAATAAAATTAATTGGCTAAAGACAAAAAAGTATTTTGTTTTATTCCACAAAATAATTATGCAAATTATGAATACGTGTATAGGCATTTTGTAGCACAAAGGATTATTTTATATGTTTTGTGGAATTTGATTTTTTTTTTAAATAAGAAAATTATTCGAAAATAAGAAGATGTTTTATTATTCCGAAGTACAGTCAACATTCAGTTTTAATCAATATGAAAATGATTGTGAAATCAATATCTGTCGCAATATCAAAAGCATTTTTCGGCATATGTCTACTTTTTTAGCAATAAAATCCGCTTTCAAAACTGCAAAATGTTTAATATCTACAAAATGTAGGTACATAAAGTGCGTTTTAAATTGAACTATTCAGAAATAAATTGTAATACCTGTTCAATATAAATGAGTTTATAAACTATGGAATGCAATTCTACAAGTTCTTATCATTGAACAGAAAATAATTAAAACCATCAATGTATAGATAAGGAAGATCAATATTTAGAAAATTACAATCAATCGATGTTTAGTGCAATTTTCAAATTAATATTACAATTTGCTTACGATAAGCAATTTGTCGTAAGCAATAAATTGTTCAATTTAATTAGAAGTTAGTAAAGTCCAAACATTCATTTGCTCAAAAAATTTCAAAAGTCGTCATCAAACCGTTAAAACCGTAGGGCACTATGATTCAAGGGGGCGCGAGATTGTTGGAAACCAACAATGTTGAAATAAATAAATATACAAAACGTTGATAAATAGATATAAAATAATAAATAATAAATAATTTTGATGTATATTTTTACACAAAATTGTATATTAATTTGTTGCCTGATAAATTATAATATCAGTTGAGTATATGTACATGTATATGAAATCGGATTTATAGAAAACTTAAGAGGAGTGGCGGAGTGGCGCAACATTTTTTTTTAAAAAAAATAGGGGGCCGCGGTACGAAAAGGTTGGAAATAACTGATTTAAATTGTACTTGCTTAAACTTAAAGGTAAATTGAAGTACATATTAAATTTTCATCTCAAGAAACCTGGTTTAATTTATGAAATATACGGTCAGAAGATTTATTACTAATCAGAATATTAACCCTTTCCACTCGGATGCCTCGGATCTCTGAATTTGCAAGTGGAAAGGGTTAATTTTAACCTAAAATACGTATTTCAAAATTTGTCTAAAAACGATGCAAATTAATTAAAATTTATGCTTGTAACTTTGGAGCCTATAAGTGCGATATATAATTTAATTTGAAGTTTACTCATTAAATTTGGTTTCACAAGCTTTTAAGAAAAAAGTTCTTGCCAAGTGTACAATAATCTTAATTCAACTATCGAAATAAACTTCATATGTATCCTTTCAAACTTCACATTTATATTTTACTATGCTTGTTAAAGGTAAGATAGAACATACCAGGAAAACGTCTTTTAGATCGAAATTTATATTATGAATCCTTTCGATAATTAAGGAATCCTAGGAATATTTGGAACAAGATGGAACAACGCATCGGACTGTAAGTCGAATAAATTTCAAATTTTTAATGAATAAGATCTTATATGTGGATAATTAATAATAAAACGAGTATTAATGATTATCTGCATTTGATCTATATCATTATTAAAATAATTTGAACATGCGAATGAACAATATTTGAAATTATTGAAGACTGTCCATTAGGAATGACAAAAATTTGTGCGGACTTCGTGTAATGAAAGGTTAATGAAAATGTATTACCAAAAAGGTATTTTATTAAAAATTAATATTTATTGGCCTGTCAGAAAATATAGAAACAGAATTAAAATTACAAGAATAGGAAAATCCAGCAAATTTGTTAAAAAATTTAAACACTATTGCACAAAATTTCTACGCAAAATTTAAAATTAAAAATATATAATTCTAAACTAAGTACTTGTATTTAATTTAGAATTATAATAACTTTAAACCACTCAATCCACAAAACTTATCACATACAATAATAACCAGACCATTACCGTTGGTCTTTCTACAGCAACGAATAAAACCAGACTGACCGCTATTAAAGCATCGTACTTCACAAACGTAACAGACAGCATTCATTATGTTGCATGCATTAAATAAGAGTAATAATAAAATAATCAAAAAGTAATAATAAGTAAAAAATATTAAATCTTTTATTAAATAAAATCGGTCGAATGAAGTAGTAGCATATGACCCAATTGCACGGACTTGAATTGCGCAAGTCCGTACGGTTGTTAGGTAAACAACTTTGCGTCAGAGAATGTTTTGGTGAAAGACTGATGATTGCTAATGGTAATTTTTATTATAAAATACCTTGTTGAAACTTAATTTTGTTAATTGTATGGAAAAGATTTAACTAAGTATTATAATAAGATTTTTTACACTAAACATTCCAGATGCACATACTTAAATCACATTTTCAAACAACTTGAACTGGCAGGTATATAACAATTTCACTTATATTTCAACAAAACACATTTGGATTTCCTGATATCATTTTTATAATGAGCAAAATAATCACGTGGTGCGCCAATCACTTATTACTATCACTAAGAATCAAATTCATCTATTACTTAATTCTTTGTTTATTTGCCATTATAGTAGATATCAAGCTAACAACAATCAAAGATGCTTTTAGAAGGCGCGGCTACTTTCGACTAACATGCTAAAGGTAAACGAGTGGATTTCATGCGATCACGTGAGCACGTGACGTCACCAGGTGTAGGGGGACTCGAATGCTATCCCCACTAAAAACACCTGTAAGTTATGTACGTTGGAGAACATATGCGTTCAGTTACAAATTTAAATATATAACATGTATGATATGAATATATATAGACAACCCTTCGTTAACGCGGTGAGTGCGTACCGTGTAGTATGGAAACCACGCTATAAGAATTTTGGATTTAACGTACAAACGGACATAAGGTTAATTTATAGCGCGTTCTATGGAAACTGGCTATCGTGTTATTTGGGACCGCGATGTAAGAAACACAGAATTAGTACATCTATTGCACCGCGTTATATGGAAACCAACACATACAAAAGACAAGAAAAATTTTAAATGATTTTATTGAAGCGAAGAGTTCGTATAAATATATGATAAACTAATTGAAAGTGGCAAACGGACATAAGGTTAATTTATAGCGCGTTCTCTGAAACTGGCTATCGTGTTTTTGGGAACCGCGATGTAAGAAACACAGAATTAGTACTCTATTGCACATTGCACCGCGTTATATGGAAACCAACACATACAAAAGACAAGAAAAATTTTAAATGATTTATTGAAGCGAAGAGTTCGTATAAATATATGATAAACTAATTGAAAGTGGCATTTTGCCTTAATTTTCCGATAGGTGTAATAATATGGTAATGATTGACTTAATCAATAGAAACTGGGATTAGATATTAGATAAATTTTCAACTGTTTATTTCGGAAATAAAGTTTTTGCTGTAAATCTAAACATTGCGATTTTCAATTGATATCTTTCAAACATTTTAGTATGATCTATAAGACCATGGTATCTATAGTCAAAAAAAAATCATAACTAGTGGTGTATGGTATTGTGCCTTGAAGCAAATTGCTGGAACTTCCCGTACCTTAACGAAATCGAGGAATTAATTTTTTTCAAATATATTCTTATAAATACTGTAACATTGTCTAATATTTATAAGAATATAAACTGAATTACAACGTTAAAATTATTTATTAAAGTATATAAGTTAGTTTTTAGAACTTTAGCCAGAAATAAATTAAAATCTGAATTATTTTCGATATATAAATTTTTTTTTTTCCAAAATCAATTGTTTCGTCAATCCAAGCAGGAAGTTTTTTTGAATCATTCAAATCAGATGCTTAGTTTTCTCAAAAACTGCATTTTCTTTTACATTTAGCTCTTTATCTTCGAAATGGCTAAACCAGCTTTTGCCAAAAACGAATCATCACTTCTCCCAATTATTACAAATTGAATGCTTTTTTGGATCATTCAAATCGGATACTCCGTCCTCTCAAAAACTCGATTTATATTTTCTGCACTTTTTGCTCCGTATCTCTGTAACGGCTAGACCTTCCTTTGCCAAAAACTAATCGAGCACATCTCCCTATCCCCGATAGGAATCGAATATTTTTTTAACAAAAAATCAGACACACTAAGCACACACCATATCCATTAATTCTGGGGTATGTCATCATGTTCAGAAACTCTAAAACGTGAAGATATGCAAACATTTCTTTTTTGATTTTTTGCCCATTCTATAACCGACCCTACGAGAAGTTAAAATCGTCAAATTTTTTTTTTTCAACAGTTAATTACAAGGAATTGTTTCAAAAACTAATCAGGTCAATTTCCATTCTAAAAATCATACGAAAAGCGAAAATGTTTGCATTTATTTCACGTTTTGAAGTGTCTGAACATATTTTGGCATATCTCAGAAAAATGGATGTGTGTATGTGTGTGTGTTTTGTATGTTCACGTTTTCGGGCGCACAAATCACCGATTTAAATGGTTCAAAAAACATTCGATTCCTATTGATAGGGAGATGTGCTGATTAGTTTTTGGCAAGGCAGGTCCAGCCGTTAAGGTGATACAGAGCCAGAGTGCAGAAAATAGAAATCGAGTTTTTGAGATAACGGAGCATCCGATTTGAATGATCTGAAAACATTCAATTCGTAATGATGGGGAGAAGGGTGATTAGTTTTTGGCAAAGGCAAGTATTAGACAATGTTACAGTACAATATTTATTATAATCTATTTGAAAACACTTAACATTTCTCAAACATTTCGTGAGGGAACGGGAAGTTCCAGCATTTTGCCTAAAGGCACAATGCCATACACCACATAGAACGAACCTTTCAGTTTTTTAAATTTTCAAATAGTTTATCTGCTGTTATGTTTGCTAACCTGTCGATCAAATTCACGAACCGTTGATCAGTTATTGTCAACTCAGCTGTCAACTGTCAAGAGTAGAGTTAAGTACAATTCAATGTAAAATAAATATTGCTCATTTGAACAGCATATGAGTTTATTAGTGCAAAGTTATTGTTCATATATTATTTTAAAAAATGAGTTTTTTATCAGAAGTCCTCACATCTGCAGAAGTTGCAGCTTCAACTCATAACACAGAGGTTAAGAAGCGACTGAAAGAAGAGATTTCTAACATCGAAGTAGAAGTGAAAAAATATATGCAAGATAAATATTTGCAAAAGGCTTCAAATAAGTTAAATTATAATATTTATTTAAACAAAATAAATGCATGCGAAATTGATATAACTTCGTTAATTGATAATTCTGCGCCAGATACTAAATATAAGATTGGAGAATGCACTAGTCAATTGAAAACATATCAAAATGAACTCAAAGAGGCATTAATTACACTTCAAACTGTATCTGCACTTATAACAATTGATAAATCCTTCAAAGATATAAGGCTATATATGAAGAAAAAACAGTATGCTGAGGCTTCTTCAGCTCTGATACAAATTGATGAATTAATGAGTAGAGAGGATCTCCACCTACATAATTTAGATCTTTTTACGGACATGAATAGTGCTTATAGAAATAAATACTTATGTTTCATTGAAGAAATAGGAAATGTATGGTGTGAAAATTTACAATGTTCAGAACAGAAAGCACTTAATCTACAAATTGTTGAACTCGCTATTAAAAAGAACTCAGCATCATGTGAAATGATTCATGAGCTCTTGAAAATATTTGTTAAGCATAATTATAAAAATCTTATTTCCGATTTATCCAAATTTTTCATGAAGAACATTTTAAGTCCTATTATAAGATACAATGTTACAATAACTTTGAAAGAAGAAGATGATGAAAAGAAACATGTGTTGCATTTAGAATTTGATTCAAGTTCAACATCAACTCCTACATATTCTGAAGTATTTTCAAAAGTTCAAATAGCCTTCTCTTTCATAGAATGCTATAATATATACTTTACTGATGATCAATGTTTTTTAAGTGAAATCGCTTCTCTGATAAAAAAAGAATTCACCGAATGTTTGGTGAAAGATTGTTTAATGAAAACAATTCAATCAACATCATCAAATGTAGATTCAAACTTTCAAGAAGAAATTAGGGAGTTTCAAGAAGCTTTATGTGCCTATGGATTTTATAATGAAGCAGATACAGCTATTTTAGATTTTGCAAAAGATATCCATGTACATTATGCCAATAAAGAATGCCAGCAATTATTAAAAAAATCAAGAGAAATTATGAAAAAAGATATTCATGATGCAATAGATGTTAATCCGGATGAAACATTCGATCATGGAGACCAATCAAGTGCACCACCTTTATCTGTTCCAAAGATGAAAATTTCTTCAAATATTATGGTAATGATATAAATCTATAGTTTTTTGTAAAGAATTTAATATAATAATAAGTAAACCATATTATTTAGAGCAATAATACATCAAATAAAAATGAAAGATATTAATAAAATTTTAATTATATCTATACTTTTCAACATATGATCCTAATCATCTTTGCAATTAAAGTTACTAGAGTTCAAATGTAAATCTTTTCTTAATTTTATATGTTTTTTATATTATTTATAGTTACCTATATTGATTTATAGTGTAGTTATATTGTATTGTTTTATTTTTCATTCATAGTACTGCTGAAGATGATATAAGGCCATATGTTGAAATAATTCAATATAAACTTTAATTATAAATTTATAAATGGCTTCTGTTTTTATTGATGTTAGCACTGAAGAATTTGATTTATATATATGCTAAATATGAATAATACAACACTCAGATTTTTAACACACACTTTACTTGTTAATTACAGACGTTTCGAGACCATGGTATGCCTCATCTTCATTGTAATTTCAAAACTGTTTTTATATACTTCAACATTCTTTAATATTTAATTTGAATTACATTTAATTTTTGAAAATACAAAAATAAAACAACTATCACTTGCAGAGCTTGACACAGTACTAAAACATGTGTATCATACAGAAATATTTTAAACAAATCTTAGGTGTCTCTTCATCTTGATACTTAAGATTTGTTTAAAATATTTGTGTATGTTTCACATGTTTTAGTACTGTCAAGCTCTGCAAGTGATAGTTGGTTCTTTTTGTATTTTCAAAAATTAAACAAAATATTAAATAAGGTATCAGTATATAATTTTTACTGTTTTGAAATTACACTGAAGATAAGGCATACCATGGTCTCGAAACGTCTGTATTATTAACCACTTTAAAGTGTGTGTAAAAATCTGAGTATCGTGTTATAATATATATATATATATATATATATAACATATAGTATATATATATATATATAACATATATATATATATATATATATATATATATACTATTGATAACAAACTAAAAAAAAATGTTATTACACATTTATACAATTATTTCATCATAAACTTGAAAGAATTTACTTTTTATCTTAATGACACTCAACAAACACACGAAACACACTAAAAACTATGGTTGCAAATACATCTTTACTCAACCGAGTAATACTATATAAAAATCAAAATTTCCTGTTCATTTTCTTAGCAGATTTTAAATTAATATTTATACTGACAAGATTACTAATGATGAAAACATTTAAACTACTACAGGTAATAGTACTATAAAAGAAATAATTGGAAATAATTGGAAATTTTTATCTTTTTAAAAGAAAGATGCATTTTCTCTTTGTATTTTTGATGTTTGTTGAGTGTTATTAAGATAAAAAGTTATTTTTTTTAATTTTATGATAATAAAATAAGTGCAACATAAAAAATATTTATTTGTAATCAACAGCTCCTAAAGAAGGGGATATCCCCCATATGCCCAAAACATTAAATAAAATCATTGAATTTAAAGCCTCCAATAATAAAATGATAGATAGTATAATAAATGCAAATGATAAATGTATTTCTGTGATTATGTGACTTTGAATCAAGGCAAAAATAATCATTGATAATAACTACATCTTATACTTTTTAAATTTCATTTAATCTAAAATTTTCATTGGTAGAAGTCTTCATACAACTTTAATAACCATTTTAAACAAAGGTTTCTTATTAACTTGCTTGAAATAGTATTACTTAGTTAATGCAATTTTTAATTAAAACAAAAATTTTTTGAAATTATTAATGAATATCAATGATGAAAATCCAATAAAAAATCAACAAATAATGATCTAAAGATATTATTTTTACCTGTACAGGAACTTCAAGAACTCATACTTGATATTTTACAAGAATGTGGCAAAGCAGAATCCGCTATGTTGAGGCAACGGTTACTGTGCACCGCATGCAATGTTATAAGACTTTATCAAAGTATCGTCCTAGTTCACCATAACAACTTGATAAATATTCCTAAACAATCTGGTAAATATGGTTCATAAATAACAATCACCTAAAATTATTCAATATTATTCACATAAAATCTTTGTTATTATTAGCATTATTCCACAACAACTGCATGTATTTAGCAAATTGGTTGCTAACCATTTCAATACAAATGCAGTCATACAATATAACAAAGGTAAAACTAATTCTATGACACTATAATTATTCTGTTGAAACTCAAAATAATCAACTCCTAATTAACTAATCAACTTCTCAATGAACAGGAAGAAATTGGAATTACATTATATTCAGATCAAATTTCATCGTTGCGATTGCTAGGAACAAAGTATTTGAATCAACAGATGAAACAACAAAAAAACATTATGATAAATACCTTAAGAGATTCAGGTAAGCAAAACACAATTTTGGAACACATATTTTGTATTACTTTATGCATACACTGTATTACATTAACTGAACTTACAGATTTAAATTTATTAAGTCAAGTTACAAAACTAAGTAAAACCAATGAGGCTGTGAGCAAGTGCATTGAACAAATAAATGATTTAGAATCCCACTGGTTTCAAGTGTTACCAGACAATGTTTTTGCCAGGTGTATTGCACTTCTTTACAATGTTTTGTTAGGTGAACTTATCCAAAGGTAAAACACTACTAATGTAAAATATTAACAATGGAATAATATTAATTATTATTGTCACTTTCAAGAGTTTGCAGTGCAGAAGACATATCAGCAGCAGTAGCTGCAGATTTGGTCAAGTATTTTGATGATGTACAAAAAAATGCTTTATGCATGTTTAAGGTAACATTTATTATTAATAATAATGAATCCCATAGACAAAATTTTTGAGTTAAATTTTTTACAACAGAAACATACTGATGTCATGTCTAGAGTTCAATTGTGGCAGAAGTTCCAGGAATTGAAAAATGTTCTCAAAGGGAATTTAGAAAGTATAGAAAGTCAATGGGCGAATGGCAAAGGACTTTTAGCCACAGTATTTGAAAAGCAAGAAATCAAACATTTAATAAGAGCACTATTTCAAAATACTGATCGTCGAGCTGAGCTGTTAATGAAACTTAAATAACTAAATTTCAAGATCACTTTCGATCTATCTCTTAACTGCTGAAATAAATTCAACTATACAATAAATAACATAACATTAGTTTGGATATTTTTGTATTTATAACATAATACTAAGTAAAAAATAAACATTAATCAAATTTATTCACGAGTTTTACTTAAGTCTTAATTTATTATAATCTTAAAAACCTTAAGATAAAATTTTTGTGATATAATTACATAAGAGTAAAATGTTGATGTATTTACAATTTATTATGTATCAATAGTTCTTGTCCTGTGCGATCTTAGAATTGACTGATGACATTTATATCATGAATGACGAAGTTAGTGATTCGATGCGATGCGTAGTAACTGCAAGGGAGTCAATTCTTTTATAAAGAGCAAAAGCATAATAGAGATACACCATTAACTAACTGAAGTCATTATTTATTAATATAATTGATACTTTGATATTTATTATTTCAAAATTGATACTTTCTATTTCAATACTGATAATGTGAGTAAAAGTACCTTATGAAGCTGGTAGGTATCAGTTCGGGATATTGCTTATCATATGAAGATTTGCAGATTTCCCACAATTAGTCTCGCCATCAAGGTAGGTTTGGTAGTACATTGTGCCAGGTGATCCACAGCATTTTACAGCAGTGATTTTATGATAATGCAACAGAGTGGAATAATGATTCACATAGAAATATATGTCATACTAAGAGATTCCCAAAAGCAAATTTCATGAACTATTGAACACATCTATTATCACCCCAATTATAAATAAAGTCTTTTCATTTGTTTGATTTAAAATGTATGTCAAATTATAAAAATATGGGTGGTATACATATAAAAAATGACTCCCACAAAAATAAAAAAGAATTATTTAATATTTAAAACTATACTACTAATATCTTCTCCCACCGCTAACTGGTGATCGTGATCTGTACCTTGAACCCCCGTCCCTACCGCCCCCGTATGAATCGTAACTACCATTTCCAAAGTTTTCGCGATTGCCATCACGGCTGCCATAGCTGTCGCGACTTCCATAACCACCGCGCCCGCCGCCATAAGAGTCGCGATCGAAACCGCCGCGTCCTCGCCCCCGACCTCTAAAACCGCCGCCCCTGGAACCACTTTCGTAGTTGCCTCTAAAGCCGCCACCCCGGCTACCGCGGAAACCACCGCCCCTGCTTCCTCGGAAACCGCCACCGCCGCCACCCCTAGGACCACGGCCGCGACCCCGCGATATTTCTACGCGCAACTTTGAACCTAACACTTCTGTACCATTCAAATTATCACAGGCTGTTTCGGCTTCGTCCTTGCTGGCAAATTCGATGAAAGCGAAACCTGGCGGATTGAAGGCGACCCAAACGTTATTGAGCTTTCCAAACTTCTCGAACTCGCCTTCCAGATCTTCCTTTTTGATGCTGTCGGACAGGCCGCCGACGTATACGCGAGTTCCCTTTGAGTAATCTCCGTCACCCATGATGATAGAAGTTCGAGATAGAAGCGATGTAGTCGTCGAAGCGCCGTAGATTACTGTGAAGTAATTATAACGGGATTGTCGATCGTAGCGATGATAATTAAGAGCCTAAACAAGCCGGTACAGGCGATATAAGGCGCTGCGATGTTTTATATAAAATACTACGAAGTGATCCGGACATACACAATATATATATTACGACATAATTATATCAATTGCTATGTTCGGAGAGGATCATGCACTATTATCAGGAAATCGAATGAATAATATACGAAGTATTAAATATAGATTTATTCGTCGATCATAAAGCAAATGCGATCCAGATGATAATTTAGACAACACGAATACAATGCGTAGTTGCCGTGTTTTAAGTAGAAGTCCAGACGCCATTTTCAACCGGGATTTAAAGCAAAACAAATCAAACAGAAACGCCGCAGTTTTAACGCAGAACAATTTTTCTGTTTGATATTTGTTGAATAATATTCGTTGCAAAAGCGATGAGAGCTAGTAGATTTATATCACAAGAAAATAGGTGCATAGTCGTGTAATGGCGGACAAAATGGCGTCGAAGATAATCGAGTGAGGCACTTGCTTTTTATCTACGATAAAAATTAAACGAAGCAACAATTATAATAGTAAATGATGACTTGAGTACGCCGAGGTGTATCTCTTATCAGCTTTTATTTACCGTACAGCGATGCGTCGATATTTCTTAGTACTCAGAATCACTAACGAACGTCACAAAACTACTAAAACTTATACAGACGAGAAGACGAATGAACGCGGAAGATGATGCGCTAGCTTATATAACCTCGGTTTGGTGCGAAGTTCAAAGGGGTTCACATGACTGACTGAACGCATACAGTTTTGTTCCATTTATGCATCTGTAAGTTGGTATGTGTGTGCCAAGCCATCTTGCAAGCCCGCTAAACGCCATTTATTGATTTTAGTAATGTTTATTATAGTTATATTAAAACTACGTTATTTATATCAAATCCTGAAATTACATATTATACTAATTGAGATTATTTATGAAAATGAAATATAGAGAATCATCTAACTCCTTCATTGTCTGTGCACTGAAGAGCTTATCATCTCATAAATAAAAACTCTACACATCATTGAAAATAAAATTATATTTAGGCTATTAGAGTACATTGAATCGATATGTAGAGCATTGCATTACGAATGAACGGTTCTAAATCCTTGCATTGTAGAAAACTGCTGAGATATTACTATATAATATATTAAGTAAATTGGAACTTTTATATATGAAACTGCTATTCTCTATTAAAGCAAATTTAAATGTAATGCACATATTCAAATAACCGAAAATTTAGAATTATATTGATAAATAATATATATCTAATTAAATTAAATTTAAACATATAAATTTCTAAAAACAATAAAATAAAAGGGCTGATAAACATGTCTATTTTGTCAAATATTCCACAAGATATACAAAATTACTTTACAAACTTTAATCAAATATTTTCTTAAAATATTATTCTTTCTTACCTGTTAACTTTAATTTATATGGCAATTTTATATTGTAGCATATGGATATATGATGAAATTGTGTAAGTATTTATGTAAACAATTGTTTAAGTTTAAGGGATATCATACTGTATATAGATTATTTATATGTTGCACTAAAGACAATTTAATGTATGCTCTAGTAATTATTGCATAAAAATAATTACTAAAAGCAGATTTATTATCAAACATAAATTGTTTAATCTTACACAATCATAAGCCATATAATGAAGCTCAATCAAAGATATTTTAGCATTTTTGTGTACAATTATATAGATATATACATAAAATATTTTTTACCCAGCAATTTTTATTTCAAAACCAAAAAGCAGTTTTATGGATTAATCAATTTCTTTCATCTAGCTCACTAGATTTTGAATTAATCAAATGGCAAACCTTTTGAACAAGCTTTATTTTCATCTAAACAAAATCTGTATCTTTCTTTTAAATTGATTGATATTTTCAGATTCTAGACTACAGCTATTAATTCATAATAATCGAACTCAACTGTTGCTTATGCATAGAAAAAATCAGGGAAAATGGTATATTACAGAAGAAATACAACATGGTAGATTTGATCCTTTCATACATAATGTTCATAGATTTAGTATTATTTACTTCGATTAATTATTCATTATTTTTAGACAATCATTCAGATATATACAATATTTCATACCACCATATATACATATTTTGTCTTAATGAATTTAAATATATAACTAAAAGCGTACTAAGTACTTACCACAAAGCAACTGCATACTTTCACAAACTGTGTAATAATGCAGTGAATAAAGAACAAAAGAGACTTGTTATATAAAAGATGTATATTCAATATGTAGATAAATATTTAATTTCTATATTGTATTAGGAGGAGCTAGTTAAACTTGCCATTAGCAACTCCATTTTATTTAAAAAGTTTTTACCTTCCATTTTTTCAATTCGAACCTGAAAACAATTATAAACAGTTAACTCTCAGAGCACAAGATTACCGGCTAATTAAATAATAGATAATATTCTCTATTTAAATTATATATCAATGTAGCAGATTTTCTTTTGTGTAAGTACTACAACTGACTTCAATTACCTCTTTATATTGACTGCCAAGATTTTCCCACTTTCTTTCCTGAACCAGTTGACCTGGGAAAAAGTCTTTTCTTGGACTTTGAGATATATAAACTTGCATTCCATTTTGCGGTTCACATCTAACTGCTATAGCACGATCTCCCATAGGCGATGCTAGAATGCAGCTGGCAGCATTTCCTAAAGGCTCTACTGGTCCAATTCCTAAATGACTGCTTGTTGCCAAATGCTGCCAGCCCATACATCTGGCTACAGCTTGAAGTGCTAATATTTGGTGTTGATATATTTGGCAGAAAATGAGATCTCTCAATTCTTGCGGTTCATATGACATATGCATTACTCTTCCATCTCTGCATATACATTTTAGTGATTTTTCTCCAACATGAACCACAAGTGAAGTTCGGCACACAGTATCATACCTATAAATGTAATGTGACCATTTGAATAATTATTAATTTTTTTTTAAATTCTCTCTTTATTAATATTTTTTTACTTTCTTTTTAATTTAGTAATATCTCAAACACATTTTCAAAATTTTGTAGACAAGCTTGGGGATATTTATTTAAAGATACTTCTTGTTACTTCAACTTTATAAATTTGTTTAACTTCAGCTTTAATTTATTCTCAAAGTTTACTTATCTATATAATATAGTTAACTTATCTACAAACTAAGTATACCTTCACTCTTGCTACTTCAACTTTAGCCTTTTTTTTAATTATATCTGGTTTACTCTCAAATGTAACATGTAAAGTCATACAATCAATTTACTAGAAGATTAATGAATAAAATATGTAGCATATGATAATGAGAGAAAAAAAAATAAAAAGAGAAAAAAGTATTGTATTAATAAAATGATATACAAATTCTAGAAATAGTTCTTTTTACAATTTTTGGGGTAGAAGAGCATGTTAATATTAAATCTTTTAATTAAAAACAAAGTTTACATACCCATGAGTCATAATATTAATCTTGACACAACTTTGTGTTGGGCTATTCAAAGCATTCCAATGAGAAACTATTAATGGATCTTTGACTTCCTTAGCTATTGTATCCAAAACATATTCTGTACGCATTCTCATAAAAAAGTGTTGTGCTTGTTGAATAATTTGTTCTAATAAGGTCTGACTTTTTGTCATTTCTAGAAGTTCATATCTGCAAAAATGTTAGTATTTTTTATCTAATAGAAGGTTTGGTAAAAATTAAACAGCATATCAAATTTAATCAAAACCTGTCTGCTGCTGTAGGTCCTGCTAAACTTCTTTTCCTGCTTGGCCCTAATGGTCCACTGCTTGGATGAGGAAATGGATGATGTGTATTTTTATGATGTACTTCCCTCAATAATTGATGTAATGAATGTTCTAATACATGATCATGTTCAGTCTTTTGCTGTGCTGGATTTCCAGAACCTGTTCCCCCTCCTGTTGAATGGCATAGACCAATAATAAGTTGAATTCCAGGAAGAACCTAAAATAAATAAAAACATGATTAAAAATGATAAATAATTCTTAGTTTCTTAGGTATATTCTTACAGTTGCCATAATTTGATTTCCGACTACCATGTGAGGAACTGGTGCCCTCAATTGCACAGCTTCCCGAGCTAATTGACTAAAGAGCTCTTTACAAAACAATACATTTTGAGCAGCTTCTAATCGCTGTTGCCAATGCAAGTCGGGCTGTGTGGCTACTGGACCAGGGTTCAGGAGACTTATGGTTGCCGAGCATAAATCTTCTTGATCTATAAAAATAGTTAGATTGATCTGTTTGTTTCTTTATACACAGATGTGTTACATAGATTTTATGAGTTAAAGAACATACTTTATTTTAAAGATCAATCAAAGAGCAAAGTGCAATTTTAAATTAGAAATATATATATTTTAGTAAGAATCACAGCCAATTCTTTGAGTGAAAAAATACATACATGTTATTACACCACATATGTTTCATAGTAAGAGTTAAAAAAAAAACAAAAACAAAAAACAACATTTTACAGCAAACTCACATTACTTTATGATTAAAATTGTGACAAATTTATTTTTAATTTTTTTAATTCTATTCCTGTTCATTTTGCCTACTTTGAGTAAGGCACTGAATGATATTATATTTTTATGTAGATATTTTGATTTTTCTGGATTCTGTTTTAAAGAATTTTATTATTTGCATTACGATTAAATATTTATTTCATATATATTTAATATTTACAAAATATTTTTGCAAATAATATTTAAAGTAGTACTGATCACCATTACATGCCAAAATTAAAACATTTTGATGTGATATAAACATTATCTATCAAATGTGAACTTTTTAATACACATATTTTGTGAATTTACCTTTTTGACATAAAACTTCTATATAAGCAACACCTTGTAGCTCACTAGGGACGGTGACTCTTAATGCAGAATTATTTTTACTACTGCCACTTGAGGCGGTATCAGGGCTGTTCGTATTATTGGCAGGCTCTTCCTCTGCTTTGGTTACCTCAAACATACCAGTTTGGGTATATTTTGATCCTGCAGTTCTATAGCTCAAGTCTCCAATTATAGAATTTGAAACCTTTTTTAAACGCCAATTCTGGCGCAGCCTATAATCAGTAAAATACATTTTTTTAAATTTCAAATAACATAAAACCTTCCAACTTTTATTCTCAAGGTTTAAATAAAATAGTTAAGCATTTACTATTAATATTTTCAAAGATACTGAACAAAAACATGATTATTGTTTAGTTATCTATTCTAATTATTAAGATTTTGATATAAAAGAAGTTTTAGTAAACTTATCTCTAAGAATTGCATAGAAACAATTCAAAATAAAATGTGATCTTGTTACATTATTTCTTTTCAATTTAAGTTTTAAATGGATTGAATCATTTGGAGTTTTTTTCTTAAAATATGTTGTGACCAAAATAAAATAACAATTAGTTTTTTGCTGAGCAAACCTTTGTTAGCAAATTAGTAGTATATGTTATAAAAATAAGACATTATAAAAAGCAATCTGCAAATCTGGATAACAAACCTTAATAATTCAATATGAAAGTCAGGTGTGTTTCTGGAATTTCTTTGCACTTCACTATGACATGTTCTTAGTCGTTCAACTCCTGTAAGTAAAACTGTTCCAGCCCCAACCAATGCTTTTTTACGAGCATAAACACTGACCATTGGTTTAACATCAGCTGGTTCTTGTGGCACTGGATCCAAAACCTTTCGATAATAAGATATATGTATTTAATAAAGATTCAGATAAATAAACATAAATTTAAACATACACAAAGATAATTATTTGGAAATTAATCAATATAGTTATAAATAAGTAAAACAGTTGCATTGAAGACATTGCAATAAAGTTAATTATTATATTTTCAATAAAATGAAATTTTAAAATGAATGGCAAATGACCATTATGATACATTGCTTAGACGATCATGTTACTACAGTTTTGTTAGAATTCAAGTAACATTTAGATACTATTCTTTATCAGAATTGGACTTCAATTTGTTTACCATGACCGATGATTTTAAAACATTATTTCAAAAAAGTCAAGTACAAACTGACCATGTATTTATTGCCCTTAGCAATCGCAAGAACATCTGCCAAGACACAAACTTCTGTAAGTGCTTCTCTTAATTTATTTCTAACTGAGTCCCATGGCCAAAGACTCGATTGAAAATGAGCTGGATCTTTTACGTCTTCTTCTTTGATACCAGTTTTGCTGTCAGTATCAGTATTTTCCTTTTTGATTGGAACATCATTGTCAGGTTGTTTACTAAAATCTATTCGTTGGGCGAAACGAGCAAGATTCTCCGATAATGAAAGAGGACTAAACAATAAAAAAATATTAGAAATATAGATTAAGAGCTAATACTGATGTATAAAAATTTACTAACGGTTGGTAAATTTCTTGTCCATCGAAGGTAATTTCTTGAATTTGATTCTCAATTGGCGCTTCGATAGAAATATTTACTGAAGACGCCATATTAAAATGTATTTTGTATAAGTTTATTAGCTTAAAACCATTTTCTACAATCTCGAATTAAAATTCAACAAACAAACATCTTGCATTAAAGATCTGAAAACGCAACTGTCAAAATGTCAAACGAATGCGCTTCCATAGACTAGTTAAAACACAATCCTAGACATGACACATAGCTTATACATACTCTTATTTTATCTATGCTTTTGGTTTATTATAAATTTTATTTTCATATTTGTTTGTTTGTTGTTTTTATATTTTATGTATTATTATGTTATCTGGGACATAACATAAAAAAGTATTAATCATTTAGTTAGCAGTTGACCCTACTTCTTAGACAATATAATAATTTTACTCAGAAGATTTTACTCTATAAGGTCTGTCACTTGATACGCTTTAGGCGCTCATGGCGAGTAATGGCAAAACATACTGCGAAACATTTTTTATTTGCTTTTATTAGTTAATTTAAAAAGTTAGCAGCAGCGTGTTTACTTACGATTACGAAATATTTATCTTTTCGTATATATTCAGATAATGTCCATGCTAGATAATATTTAGTATATTATGTATCTACAGTGGTTTCCAACCTTTTGGTACTTTATTTTAGCATGCCACCACTCATAGAAAAGAAGAGTAAATGTCCTCTCTAGCCATAGTTGAGCCCTCCCAAAGTTTCTTACAATCTAATTATGGCATCGTGCCAAGGCAAATTGCTGGTACTTCCCGTACCAAAAAAAATTTTTTTTTAACTTTGAACAAATAAATTTTTGAGAAATTTTAAATTTTGAAAGAAATTGAATTTTTGGAAAAAAAACTTTTGGGAAAAAAATTTTTTTTTTCTTTTGGTATATTTTGGAAATTTTGAACTATTTTCAAAGCAATCGCTTTGCTTTGAAAAAACAAAGCATAGAGACAAAATATCGAAACGCGTAAGCGTCGCCGATGTTACGGAGCCCATAGAAATGTCTACAAAATTGATACGCATTTTTAAAATTTCCATAAAATATCTGATAATTTGATGTGCATAAGTCTAATGATCATTTTCGACCGCCAAATGGCTTTTTCTTTACTTTTTTTGATAGATCTTCGAAACAGCTAGGCCTGCCTTTCCAAAAATTTAACGAAGTTACCAAATTTTTGCACTTTTTGCTCCGTATCTTTGGAACGGCTAGACCACCTTTGCCAAAAACTAATTAGCACGTCTCCTTATCAATACGATTCGAATGTTTTTTGAATTATTCAAATCGGTTGATCGGTGTTCCCAAAATCGTCGACAAAAATTTGTATATTTGTATCCGCACACACACACATACACACACGCGCACACACACATACACATATACACACACATACATCAATTTTTTCTAAGGTCACGTTTATTGCTACGAAAACCAAAAATTAATGAATAACATATATTCATACATGATAAACTTTTCAGACAATGGAAATTTGAGATACATATATAAAACACTCATTATTGAGGCCAATGTGTATCTATGTAAAGGTCGAAAATATCTTACACAAAACTCTGATCTTAATTCACATGGCTATAATTACCATGAATTTTCTCCTGTAATATACCATTTGTGAGAAAACATTTTGGATATCAACCTGCTCAGCAAGTCAGGCCCCGTAATATAGTAAGGGTAAAACACGTATGATCTAGTAAGTATTTATTGAAATAAGATGTATATTTTCAAAATTATTAAAAAATTACTGTTTCCAAATATGTGCTTAAAATATTAAAATTTATTGCTTAGCTTGCTGTTGTTCTTTAAATGGTAGAACTTGTGAGACATCAGCTTCACTTTGCTTTTCCACCATGCGTTTGATGCGTCTCATACTAACATGTTCACATGTTACGTAACTCTCACCCGTTTTTATGAGATATAATAATTCAGCTCTTGACTCATCGATCATTTTTTGTTCCTGCTGAGATAGGGTCGGAGGGGCGTATTCGACAACTCCCTAAAAGATCCCATTTATTCATAACTATATGTCAGTAGCAATTTATCTTTAGATAAGATAGAAATACTCTGAACAATTGTTTAATATGAGTCATTGAAAATATTAAAAGGCAAAATCAAAATTTGACAATCTGATTTTTAGTATGAGTATCTTATGGACAAAGGATTCTTTACTATCGAATTAAATGTCATACTGTCGAATTTCATAGCAACTTTGTCTTTTGGAAACAATTCAAATAATTCTATCACATATAAGAAAATCACAATAAAAATTACGCCAATCGCAATAAAAATGTTTTAAATCACAATTTAACGCTCCACTTTAGAATAATAAAATTTGCAGGAATTAAGTAAGATGATCTCAAGTCTCAATCTCAATCTTCGAAGTAAAGAAATAAATGCATATCTCAACTTACTTTGAATTTATATAACTAAAGAACTAAATCATATGTAAAATCTGAACATAATCAATACAAAAAAAAACTAAAAAATCAGCATCAAATGTATAAATGTTTACTATGCTTACCTTGCAATCAACATCGACTTGTGTGTTAAGGTACGGAGCAATCTTCGCTATATCCGGAATAGTTTGTCTAACAAATGCTCCATCTACGCACGTAGGCCCCACTCGAATGCCTGCATTGCAAAAATCGTCATTTTGATTCAAAACATGCATTGTTGAATTTGAATTTTCATATACTGGAAAAGGGTTGTTCTTACTGACAACAATAACTTACCTTTTACGATGTTTACGATAAATCTGGCAGCAGCAAACCCTTGAGAAAGATCTGCAGCGCCTTTGAAATTTTTCATATTACAAATTGTGTCATCTGCATCACGGATTAGTTTTGTTAAGCAATCCACTTGACCCTATGAGAATTGAGAATTCATAAATACAGCCAATTGAATTTTTTTCCACAACCAATTAATAGTTCACAACTGGTCGGATAGATATTGTGGACTTCATCAGTATTTTATTTTTTTGTATCATGTGCTTGATTCAGTTAGTTACCGGAGGAAACCTGCAGCAGCTTTGATCGCTGCTGAGAACAGGAACGGTGAGTGTTCTTCCATATCCCCCATACAGTGGTATGCTAACTTCACTAGGTTTCGCCCCTGTCACCATGCTTACAAGAGTATTGGCCCGCATAGAACTTACAGAGGTGACACCAAATATGCGACGTGGATCATACACGCAATGCTTTTTGTATACCTAAATTGAAAAGGCAAAATATAATCAAAATCTAGAAACTACTATAGTTCACCAGTCATTTATATACATCAATTTTTTAATCCTTCTTACCTCGCTGACCATTGGTACAAGACATGTCACTGGGGATGTGATGACACAGAACATAGCCCTCGGGCAGACTTCAGCGCAATGCAGGGCAATTTTATGAACAACTGATGCATTTAGTTCGAATAGTTGTATGTCGGTTAGATGTGAGTTCGGTGGAAGACCGCTGCATGTAGCTACAATGTCGGCCTTCTAAAAAGTGGAAGATAAATTCAGTTTCTAGAAATTGCAATAAAAGTTTCGAATTCTATGAAATTACTATCTTTTCTCCATCTTCTCACTCTTTGAAGTAAAGAATTGAATTAAGTAAATTTTACATTAAGGTCTTAATATTCTAATGGACCGAACAGTACCGAACAGTACCGAATAAAATAAATATTTCGTATATGAATGGTTACCTTTACTGCAGCTTTAAGCTTAGCTGGTCCCTCGTAGGCAGTAATGGTCGTTCTGGTGTCGATGTGGCTAAGATCAAGTGCTACTGCTGGAAGACCGCAACCCTTGTCGTCGTGTAACGCCAACTCGTCGATCAATGGACATTGCTTTAGCATCAAGGCGCAATATCGGCCGCAACCACTTGCTGCCCCAGTCACAGTCACCTAGTAAGAAAATGTTTGTTATTTATTTTAAAACAAGAGTTATTTTATCTCTAACATTAATTATTTGACGATACAAGCAACTAATAAATGAATGTTAAATATATGATGAGAACAGAAGAGCAGTTAACATCACTATGCCTATTTAGTATTTTTGATCAGCAATAATTTTGTTAATTTAAAAGATAGCTGGGAGGAAAGTAAATTAATGGTATTTGAGCATTTGTCTATGTGGATATGAAATACTGTCATTAAATACGAGCGATTAGTCATAAAAGCAAATCACACAAAAAAGTGGGCGAGTGGCACAACCGTTCACACCACCAGGACGGCATGAAAATAGGTTGAAAACAATAGCTATAAACACCAAAATGGTTTATAATGACTTTTCTTGTCAGAAATATGTAACACGACACTTCATTATCTTTTAAACAAAGTTTATGGATATAACAAAATATAATGTTCTAAACAAGAAATTCTTGTGCTGAATTTTCTTTTTTACCTTTCTATTTCGTATTTTGTCTTACTGTTAAGCCAGATTTTTCTTTCTTGTGCAATCATCACCAGCATTGTTTAGCAGTTCCCTAGTAATAATCAGTTTGTCCGTTACGGATTTTCAATAAAAACTATATTTTTAAGTAGAATTACGGGTTTTTCAATAAACTATATATTTAAGTAGTAAATAAATGTATATAATGTTATGATATCACCTACGTTTTCCTGAACGAAAAAATTTCTAATATATCTATTCGGATATACTTCCGAAATAAAAACCAAAGTAATCATAAAAAATTAAAAGTTTTAATTCGCACATGAACGCAAGAACTTTAATCTTACAATTTTTGTATGATTTTGATGACTTGATGCCATTTACCGACATCGTGCTTATGCTAGTGCTATGCGCAACTTTTGCACACACTCTGGCAAAATATTAGGGCACCATGCAGCATTTAGCAGAGATGTAATGTGGAGCAAGGTAGCTCCAACGAATTACGGTACTATCGTATATGTTTGAAGACAAATTAAGTTTAAAGTACGCAATTATTAAATTTAAATTCTTGTGATATCTAATATAAAGTAGTTTATCCTAATAGTTATTGCATATCTCAATGTATAGCTTGATGCACAAACAATTAATTTAAGAAAACGTTATTAGATATATTAATAATATCATTAACATATACTTATTTAATATATGTTTACAGCGAATTTTATTTAGATATTAGTTCTTGGTTAAACAACCATTGTAACTTTATAATCTATGCTCTGAAAAGAAGCCAAAAATGCCTAACAACGAGCATGTTCATGAAAAATTTGCTGAATTGAAATAGTTTTTTCTGGTGTTTCAAGTTAATTGTTAAAATTTAGCCAAAAGTATTTGTATATTGATAATTGTTATTATTGCCTCTTTGGTCAATGCAATTATTCTTGTTAGATATCACTTTGTAAATATTTTTCTTCTTCTGTAATTATTTTTTTTTATCTCAAACCATTTCCTGAGTCTCGGCTTTCAATTTCCAAAATTACCTCTTTTCATAATCTTTTATCCTGTTTTCTTCTGAAGTATTGTGCAGGAAATATATTTCAAACCAGGTTTGCGATTAATTTGAATATTAATAGTAAATGAGATTATATATTTGTAATAAATTCTTGGTACATTAAATACTATGATAAGAATATCTGTATATAATTTCATTTAATCACAAATGATTATCATTAGCATTTTTAAATTCAGGTAGGGTGAGTTATTGTGATCGTCCAAAAATCGAAAATGAATGTTTTTGCATGTCTTTACATTTCAGAGATTTCTAATCATTTTGGTTTACTTTATATTAACCCTTTACATGTGCACCATTTGTGCACAGGCATCATTTCTTCTATTTATCACATCAACACTTTTTTCTCTTCATAAAAATTTCATTTACATTTTTTTGCGATTACTATAATTTACTCTTGGTGAAGTTAAAAAAAAAAATTGGACATAAGCATACCAAATTGTCAGATATTTTAGTTTAGGAGAGAATGATTTTTAAATGATCACTAAATAACAATTAATATATTATGTTAATTGGCCACGACTTTATTTAATACCGGAACTAAAAATAGAAACATGAAACCATTTTTAAAGCGTTTTATATGTAAGATGCACTTTGACAAAGTTACAAAAAAACAGAGCTTCAATATTTCTCCAAAAAGCTTATAAATATGCTAATTTTTATTTTAAACATAACATCAATAAAATTAACAATGTGACTTCCAAGAATAATAAGTTTGATTAGAAAATGAATTACTCTGTTTCATAGAAAATGATTCGTAAATTTATAAAACCAGATCAAAATCAATTCTTAAAATGAATTGTCTTGACATTTTATCTGGTTAAAAATTTTGACATTCTGAAAAAATTGTGGCGCCCCAGGGCCCGGGCCTCACTGGCGTATGGGTTAATCCAGCACTGATTCAGATTGTTCCAATCTTCAACAAGCAAGCAACGCTTTTATACACACACAAGTCGATGGAACATCGCGCTCGTGCGTAGCCTCGCTTGTATTGTGAGAATCGCGTCTGTTCCCCTATTCCGCCGGTACCTTCTATTGAAACGGATAGTGTTAGTCCCTTGTTTATACTGACCTACCCTAAGATGACCATGTGCAAAATAATTATACATCGGATACACAATGTAGTTCACGATCAACGTTTTGCGAAAATTCTATTCAGAAACAAATGGAATGGTATTAATAAAGCACATATGCATATTCATAGTTATATCATGAACATTTTACATTTCCTCATTTTCCAACTATTAAAAGAATTTTTCGCGTAACAAATTTAGTTTTCTCTGCTTAATTAGTTATTGATTTCAATCGAACGCTGATGTGCCGAATAACCAATTCCATTGCTCGATTGAACCGTACGGAAATACAAGGAGACAAGACACGGATTTTGTTCAAATTCTTGCTGATGCCCTGGTAATTCAGAAAGGTAAAATCGAGCAGTTGTCACAGTCGGTCTCGGGATATTTTAATTAATTTGAAATTAAATCAAATTCTTAAAAATCTTAAAATATTTAATAGTTTAATTTTATTTGAAAACAGCATTTGAGTTTACACTTATTTGTTATTTATAATATTACAATTGATTATGGAAATAAGATTAAAACTAAAATAAATTGTATTTGACCAGGTTACATAATATACGCAATATTTTTTAATTATTTTAAATTAATATTATTTTATTTATAATTTTTAAATATGCTATACTAATGAGTCTTAAAATCATATTATAATTAAATGTTTTATAATATGAATTATTTTATTGAAAATTTTATTTAAAATGACCTTTTCCAACATGGATCAAGTTCATGTAAATTCAAAATCAGATGGGATTTAATAAAATCTGCTTTTAATTATTTTGCATAGTGCTGAAATCATTTCTGACGAGCTACCAGAGCACCATGCACAGTTATCGAATCGAGCGACTAATATTTACAAATCGTTTATATCGTTCAAGATCATTTATAATCTTTACAAAATTTATTTTTTAATAATGAACATAGCGTAATTTGGCAATACTATATTAAAATAATACTAGAGTATTTTTCTAAAAATTTGTCATCCCCTTTGTAGGAATGAATTTTGTGTCACATTGTGCCTTAAGGCAAATTGCTGAAACTTCCCGTATCATATAATTACACATTCGAGGAATAAAAATAATCAATAATCAACAAAAATTGATTAATTAATTAATTCGAAAAGTTTGAACCGCTGGACCTGCATTCCCCAAAAACTAATCATGCTTTTAATCAATCTAATCATATGCTCCTTTCTCTCAAAAACTGCTATTATTGCACTTTTGCTCCGGGTCATTGAAACGGCTGGACCTGCCTTTTCTCAAAAACTAATCTCCTTATCAATAGGAATGAATCATATCGATAAGAATCATTCAAATCGGCTCATCTGCGTTCCCGAAATCGTCGACGAAAATTTGTATTCGCACACACGTACACACACATACATATATTTTTTCTAAGGTATGCCAAAATGTTTAGAAATGTAAACATATATGAAAAATTTCATTTTTGATTTTTTTGCGATTACTGTAACTATCCCTATTATGGGAAGATAATAAGTCGCATGATTACTAAATTAAAAATGCAATTAATTGGCAAAAAATGATATGACAAAATATTGTATCCAAACATACACTCAAACTGCATACACACAAATACATCAATTTTCTCTGGCGTATGCCATAATGTTCAGAATCTTCGAAACGTAAAGGTATGCAAAAAATCTCATTCTCAATTTTTGGATGATTACTATAACTTACCCTATGGGAAATTATCAAATAAGTCGCATGATTACTAAATTGAAACTGCGAATATTTGGCAAAGAATTATGATAGCATCCAATAAATTATTCAATTATTAAATCATGCAAGGCCTAATCCATTTATCTCAATTTTTATATGATATTTCTTTACCTTCTTATTAATTTTATATTCTTCTTCAGTCAAGTCCCGTTTAATAAAACCGCAATGAACATGTTATGCATATTAATTACAAATATGAATTTTAATCATTACAACGTATAAAATTCCAATGTCAATGATTTTTAAAGATTCTGCATGTTTAATTATAGAATCCGAGTAAAATGTGTGCATGTTGCCCTGGTGCGGAGGAAAGATTGACGCCGCTTGGTACCCTAGAACGGTTGTTTGTGCAAATTTCTAGCACGATATTTGCAATTGTTATGTACGATAACAAGATGTTGGCCACTATCCGGCGACTGGAAGGCGATCAAATCAACTAGGCAAACAGACAGGTCACGGAAACACAGAACATACAATAACTAGATTTACCAAAGGTCTATATTATTCCACAATATAGCATCATTATATAGGTTAAAGAACACGAAATTATGCGACTTGTATTTTTACTTTTTGAGAATTTTATTTAATTTGACATCCGACAATTTTATTTGAAGTTAATAACAAATTTGCTTCATGCTCTTCAAATGTTTGATTGGTGGGCTTTTTTTTTTCATTAATACATACTAATGTATTAGCCACAAACTAGTGGTTTCGTTTTTTTTTTATTAGGAATACATACTAGAGCATATTGTTTTATTCCATCAAAATTCATGGGTGGGCTCACGCGGTTTCGACGCCACTGTTAATAATAATTAACTATTATTGACTGAATTATAATAATAAGATTTGTGACGTTACCGACAATTTTTACATAAAAACTCTTCATAAGTATAATTAACATTTATATTTAATTCTTCGTCCTAAGCCTCAGTGGTATTCCATTCGCTTTCTGATGGGATGTGAGAGATGTCCCATTGCCATTTCACACCGCTGCCGTGTTGGGCTTATTTTCAAATGATAACATATTTTTTATCTATATTTTCAAGTGAAAATGGACATCGCTACTGCACGACTTCAGGACGTCCCGAGTCGCGCTAGTACTCGCGACCTTGTCCATGCAAAGACAGCGTTTTAAACCGCTCGGCCGAGAAGACCGATTTATTACATATGCTTCCACAGACATAATCAGCAATGCCCCGAAATACTTTTACTTGTAATTTTATTTAGATATGTATTTTCAAGTAAAATGTAACATCAATACTGCTTGTTATCATGCTGCCCGAAGCGGGAATAGAATCTGGAGTCTGTCGTTGAAAACAACTAAACTTAAATCACGGAGCCACGGATAAGCTAATCGAGAATTAATTCTCGTCTATATAGTCTATTTCTGAAACCTTATTCAGGAATCCGACACTTAATGCAATATTATATTTCATATTGTATTTCTTAAGTTTGAGATTTATTTGTGATGTATATATCGGACTTTGTTTTATATAAATTAAATATTGCAAAATCTTCATCACAAATTATTATATTATCTATATTATGATTTTTCAATATTGTTGTGGTATAATATAATATAGGACATACTGACATAACGCAAACTATTGAGATTCACTAAATTAACTTTGCTAATCTTCTAGTATCGTTATCTTCTAGCTTTGTATTTTTTCGTTTTTTACCATTTTTACTTCAATACTCTATTCAATTAAAAAATTTGAATAAATTTTGAAGATAAAGCATATCTATTAAACTAATGTTCGAATACAGATCGAAAGATGTGACGCAAAGTTCAAAATACCGCGCAGAGCGCATGATGCCCTGGTAGATGTGAAGCGGGAACATCCTTGCTGTTGATGACGAAAGTTGACGATTTCCAACTAGATTCTAGTAATATTCTTGCTGATGTGATTTTTTCATTATTCCCAATAATGTGATAGTTCTTGTGATTTAATGCTTGAGTGGCATTGTAGGTTGTAGTGATAAATATATTTTTTATATATTTTATTTATTACATAATATATATATATATATATATATATATATATATTCATTGTTTGCAAATTGTTCTTGAATATTTGCATAAAGCAAATTGGATAATCCAGATTCAGAATTTGATTTGTGATTTAAATCCAAAGAAGTCCAAAGGGTTAATATAGGTTTTTGAATTCTAGTTTGACCAAGAGATAAAACTATATAAAATATAATATAGGAAATATCTAGTAATTATAAAATAATTACCGAAATATATGAACAGGCAAGATATGGCAAAACTAATGTTAAAAATTTTAGATGTACAATTAAAAAATGATAAGAAAGCACCCAAAAGAACCAAAATAATAAAAGCAAAATAAAATAATGCATAAAAAACTTGCCACACACAATGTTCAAAAAAACTTGATTAATGGTCATATTTATGAAATAGATTTTCTTTGACATGAATAATCAGCCATCACTTGTTCTGAAATAATTTCTAACTAAACTAATATTAAAACTAGTTGTAAGTAGCATTTTGCCACCATTGAAATGTGGTCTTTTTTGGGACATTGTTGATTTTTTTCTTTTTTGCCACAAATATTGTATATATGAATAATACTAAAACTAGTTGTAAATAGCATTTTGCCACCATTGAAATCTGGTCTTTTTGGGAAATTGTTGATTTTTTTCTTTTTTGCCACAGATATTGTATATTTGGATGATTAAGATAAAATGTATAGCAATATATATAACATTGTAAGAGGATAATACCCTTGGGTAATAAACTTATATATTTTAATTATACACTATAATTCAGCTTATTCAATAAAAAATCCAAGTTTTTAAATCTAAAATCTAATCTAGTAGCATTTTGCCTTAAGGTAAGTTGCATGATTTCCCAATATGTATACAATCATGAAGAATAGAGATTCAGGTATTTAGGTAACGTGTTCAAATTAGAGCTGTCAAGAACCGTCATTTTCAAGAACCGGTTCCAAAGTCCAAAAAGGACTCGGTTCCGGGAGAACCGTGAACGGTTCCAACCCGGAAAAGTCCGGATCGATCCCGGAAAATTCCGGACCGCACCGGAAAAAACTCCGGCACCGGATTTTTTTTTCTATATTGTGAATAATGCAGTAGTATTTTACTATGATGAAATGGGTGTATGTGTGTGTGTGTATGTGTGTGTGTGTATGTGTGTGTGTATGTGTGTGTGTGTATGTGTGTGTGTGTATGTGTGTGTGTGTGCGGATACAAATTTTCGTCCACGATTTCGGTAACACGGTTCAACGGATTTCAATTATTCAAAATACATTCGATTTGTATTGATAAGGAGACGTGCTGATTAGTTTTTGGCATAAGCAGGTCTAGCCGTTTCGAAGATACGGGGGAAAAGTGCCATAAGCGGTAACTCAGTTTTTGAGAGAACGGAGCGTTCGATTTTAATAATTCAAAAATCATTTTACTTGTATTGACAAGATGAAGAATTGATAAAATTTTTATGAATGCAGATCTATCGGTTTCGGAGATCTAGTAAAAAAACTAAAAAAAGCCATTTGGCTGTCAAAAATGATCATTAGACATATGCACATCAAATTATCAGATATTTTATAGAAATTTCGTTTCAACGCAGTTAAAGCAGTACGATTGCTTTGAACAAAAGTTCAGAACTCCCAAAATATTTCAAAATAAAAAAAAACATTTTTTTTTCAAAAAGTCTTTTCTTTCTAAAAAAGTAAATTTTTGTCAAAAATTTATAGTTTCTCAAAAATCTATTTTTTTCAAAGTATTTTTTTTCCAAAATGTTGATCCTTTTAAAAAAATAATTAAAAAATAAAAAATACGGGAAGTACCAGCAATTTGCCTTAAGGCACGATGCCACACACCACTAGTTTCTTATTTTTTTATTCAGTCACAAATATCCAAAAAGCTACGTGTTTCGCTTTTAGTTCTTGAATTTTTTTTTGTAACCCTTTGAATTTTTTAATATAATTATAATTAACACTTTTTGTGCATTTCTATTTATTTATATATTTGTTTGATTGTTTGCCATTAATAATGCAATGCAATTCTCAAATTGAAAATTGTACATTCGAATAATATTTAGTCTGCTTTCATTATTTTTATGTTATATGTAATTTTCATAAACTTCTAAATAAATAATTATAAACTTTTTCATAAAGCAACTTCTTTTTTCAATCGGATTTATCATTTAATTCACATCGGAAATAAAATAATTTTATGTAGACGCCCTATATGAATAAAGTAGAAAAGCATAGATAAATAAACATAAAACATAGTGAAGTGTGACATGACATGAGACATGACAATTCCATCTTTATACTGGGGTTTGTGACATTGTTTTGCTTTATAGGTTATGTACAAACTTATTTTTTCATTTCAGAGTTATTTTAAATTAAATTTTATAGTCTGGGAATTGTAGTCTATGACATAATAATAAAAACATGTGTCTCCAAATATTTTTACTGTAAGTTAATGTGTTATGCAATGCAATTCGTCCTATAAGTTCTTAAATATACTTAAAGAAGCATAATTAGTTTGTGTTTCAGGTTAATAATCATGAGTAAATGTTCAATATACACATAATGTTATCAGTTATATGAAACATCAAAAATATTCTAAATTTTATATTTTATATAAACAGTTTGTTCTTTTAAAATTTGTAGATCTTCAATATTGATCTTAAAATTTCTAGACTTGAATATAATTCAATATGAGATGAGGATTATTATAGATCAACTAGCAAACTATCACTATAGATAGAAATTAAGATCCTAAAGGTTGTGAGAAGAATTGAGGAGAAATAGTAAAATATATTTATTACAAGAAGCATTTAACCTTTAAAATTTTAGCATTTAGCTATTAAATGTTAGTCTTTATTGAGAAGTTTAATTATGAAAAAAATCAAAATCTATCTAGTGCAAAAATATGGTGCATTAAATTATAAAACGTTTTTTCTGAGTCTGAAATTTCAAATTAAAACCTCACATTTACAACATAAAATTGATTTATTTATATTTTTATACATTTTTGTTTTCATAGAGAAAAACGAGCATGTCCACATTGTCAGGTCGAAGGCAATTTCTGCGGTTTGTGATTATATTTCCAGCTGTGGAAAAAACCCTTTCAGATGGTGTCGAAGTGGCTGGTATAGCTAAGTATTTTTTGGCTATCATGGATAGTTTTTTGTATTTGTTTTCATTACGGCGCCACCATTCAAATACGCAGTCTTTTTTACTTATTGGTTTTTCAGTAATGTATATATCAATTTCTGATTTTGTAATAGTAGGCATAGCATCGTCTCTTTCCTCATCGAAAAATACATCTAAATAGTATCTTTCTATGTCTGAAGATTCTTCTTCAATCGTAATTTGTGATGTCTCTTCCATACGCCTTAACAACACTATTGCCTTTTGTTTTACGTTATGAGGAACTTCATCTTTGTATCTGGGATCTAATATGCTTGCCATATCGAAAACTGTTAAATTTCCATCGTCAACATTATAGAGAAATCTATCCATTATTTCAGTTCTTATTAGTTTTTTAAACTTTTTTATATGGATAGATTCCTCTTCATTAATTCTCTCTGAACATCTTCTCATTAACGAAGACATCAATGGTTTTGCTGTTGACAATGTTACAGCCTTTTCGGATGACAATAAGCTGGTACTCATTTCAAATGGTCTTAAGATTGTGACCAGCATTACTATTATCCCCCATTCCTGCTCAGTTATTTCAAGTGACACAGCTGTCCTAATGTTCGTCACAGAGCGATCATTGAGGACAGCTGAAATTGCTGGCCGTTGTTCTACCAGTCTTTCAAGCATGTGGTAAGTGCTGTTCCACCTAGTAATGTTCTTATTTATTAGCTTATGTATTGGAAGTTGTAGTTGATCTTGCTTCTGTTTCAAATTATAATAGGCTAAGCTAGAATGATGGAAATGACTTACTACATTTCCAGCTTTCTTCACAACATCATGAACATTACCGACTGAAAGGGCTCTATTGATGCACAGCTGTAGGGTATGTGCAAAGCAGGGTATGCTATCACCAAACAAGTTCCTGTTCTTCGAAACAGCCCCTGTAATGTTTGCAGCATTGTCATGAACAACAGCAGATATTTTATCTTTAATATTCCAAACTCCCAATAGTTCAGTCAATTTATTTTTTAAATTCTCTGAAGTGTGTTTCTCTGAAATTTCGACAGTGGATAATGTAACATTGTTGTACTGCCATGTACTGTCTATTACATGACCAGTAATAGTCATATATGAATTTGATGATCTTGATGTCCACATATCAGTTGTGATTGCCACATTTTTAGCTTCAGACAACAATTTCTTGACTTCGCTGGTCTTGTTGTCGTATAATAATTTCACACGACTCAGCACAGTACCTCTTGAAGGAATTTTGTAAGTCGGTTCGAGAAATTTCATAAATTTCTGAAATCCTTTACGTTCCACAAAGCTTAGTGGTAGCATATCTGTGGAAATCATTTCAGCAAGTAAGCATGTAATTTTCTCGCTCCTTTCTTCCAAATACTTGCTGCTTCGAAATGCTCCAGTGATTTTGGTCTGTGTCAATGAAGATGTTTGAGAATCAGCTGAAGTGATGCTCATATCTTCAGAGTCACTCAGGATCTCTACCTCTTCTTCAACGTTCATTGAAAATCTAAAACAGTGAAATATTTTTATTCACTATTTCATTATTCATGTGTATATGTGTATTATGTGTATATAATGATAAAAAATTCTAAAGATTAAAGTTGAACAATCAATAGGGCCAATAATGGACTATTATAAAATAATTTGATATTTAAGTTTCATAAGCTTGTTTCATTTTTTTCAATGAAAAGTAATATTAATATTATTAGAGCGATACTTCTAATATTTGTAATATTTAAGTTAAAAATATATATTTTACACACTATTATTTGCAGACGCCCATTACTGTCGTCAAATTCTGTTCTATTATACGTCAGCTTATTTATTATTTAATTACTATTTATTTATTTATTACTAAATTATATCATTAACATGAATTTAGCAAGTAGGATTTTCTGGTGAAAACGTAAACTTCTTCGAGAAATTGCGTTGTGCTATTTATTATAAAAGTATTGGCGGCACTATAAAAGTTTCAGAAACAGAGCAATTTATGCATTTTACATTAGTTATTCAAAACTATATAAGTATATGTACTTATATAGTTCGGAATATCTATAGTTATTCAGAACTATATAAGTATAGTGTTGGATAACTAATATAAAATGCAAAAATCTCTCTGTTTCTGAAACCTCTATACTTAATGTTTAGTACTACTTATATTAATAACTATAGTCATACCAACTATGGGTTTTAAAACAATTTGTGAAAAATTTAATATTTCTATTTAGTATTGAAAAGTAACACATGTAATGAAAAATCAAATACAAAAAGGGGCTGTAATTGGCACTGTGTCTGAAAATATGTTATGCAAAAACAGTATAAGCTGATATTAATAAAATTGTGTTTCAAATTAGATTTTATAAAACTTTTACACTTGATTGTCACAAAAGGATTCAATTAGTAAATGAATATTGATGGAATATTAAAATCTGATAAATTATTTACCTTTGACGCTTTCTAGAAGTTGAAGAAGTTCCGGAAGAGCTTTTCTCGATATCGAAAACACTATGAATAGTTTTCAAATGTTTACGAATTGAGCTAGTACTTCCTCCAACGCACTTCAATTGTTTTTTGCAAAACTTGCATTCTGCGGTATCAACCGATATTTTTTTAAAATAACACCAAACTGAACTTTGTTGATTCATCATTATAATTTGTTGTCGGTACAAAAAGATTAATAAATTTAAATAATCACAAAAGATTAATTGAAAATAAATGCTTTACTTTAACTTTAAAAGTTTCAAAATTAGAAGTATAATTATAAATATATTTCTAAAATGAACTTTAATAATAGCCAATTGCGTGTATTTTCTTCAAACGTCTGTAAGAAACTGATCCTTGAAGCACTTGAGACAAATCTTTCATTTAGGAATTCTAAAGACATCCAAGAATTACTCGGGGGTTGTGGTAGGTAAAGAAAATTTGAAACAAAATGCACAAAAAATCTATACCGTAATATTTAAGTGTGACTTTAACTGAAAACATATTACGAAATTAAAATCATATTTAAACTTTTTAAAAACTGTTGCTTCATTAAAATCAGCAAAATAATCATAATTAGAGCTATTATAGTAATAATACGATTTGTTATTAAATTAAAATTATAACTAATTAATATTATAAAATTAAAATTATTAAAGAAATATAATAAATTTAATTATCTTATTAAAAATAATGTAAACATGCGAAAGGTTGTACATTTTGCTTCTATTACCCAAAATTTTATTTAAATATAGGTGAACTTTATACTCAAAACGGGAAAAACGAACATCTCGGTACGCCGCTTTGTAAGAGTCAACCATTTTTTTATACGAAAATATTTGGTAAAAAAACTAGATACATATATTAATGTATTGTTTTTTGAGATACGAGCCTTCAAAGGCGCGGTTCGTTTGCTTCAATATACGAACAAAATTCGTGATACGCGCCGCCAAAGAAGCGATGCCGCTAGCAAGACCGCCAGATTCTGTAAATTTATAAGAGTGTGAATGAAGCAGATTCATTTAATAGGATTTTTGTATATGAAGTTGCATAAAAAATATTAGTGTCAATTGTTTATAGTCAAAAATTTCAATTAATTAATATTAATTGTTTCATTATTCTTGTTTGTCAGATACAACAATTCACACCCATTGTGATTATTTATGTTAATGTAAAAAGTAGCGTTCGATCTCTTTTGCTTCTTATGCCGTTAAAAAATATTTACTTGTATAATCACGATTTTTTATGAGATAGTATATTTATAGAATCATGATTAGATAGTTTATTCAAACGCAAGAACTAATATAATAATAATTAAGTTATTTTTTATTTAGTAACTTGCTATATTTTTGGATAATATATATATTTGATCTTAGAAATAAATGTTTCAATCCATTTTATTAATAAAAAAAACACTGTCCTGGAACGAATTAATGGCATTTCAATGTATTTGTATAGAGAAAATTGCATCGAGATATGATATACGATTCGAAATGCGAGTGTGGGTACGGAACGAATTAAGCTCGTAAGGCGGGATATCACTGTATATAATATAATATATATATATATATATATATATATAAATATATATATATTTATATATATATATCAACATCAAAATTATAAAAATTTACCATATATATAAATAGATATATGTATAATTAATCATACATTTCAACATCAAATTTAAACACTTTCAACATATTTATATATATATATATCACTGTATATATTTACATATAAATTAATTTATACAAATTGTTAGTAATAATTAAAAATTAAAAATAATTAAACAACTGCAGCATAATGAAAAACTTACTTAAAAAATAATATATTCTAAAAACTTACAAAAATAAACATAACTTTAATTACTTTGAAGCATATTTTCAGTTTCTTTAGTTTTTAGTTTCTCAATTAAAGTTTTCGATATCCATAGCAAGAGGCGGTTTCTTTTGATCAGGAGAATTTACAAAACTGGCTGCATATAGTATTAAAAAATATTTTATTAAAAGTATTACAACAAAACGCCTTAGTTTAATTGAAATAAATAGTCTATTTCATAAAAAGTAAGTTAATTTCTAAATTGTTAACTTCATAGAAATATAAAAATTTCATACTATGCCAACACATACATATATTTATTTTGTTACCCAAGCTCTTCCCATTATGTAATTCGACTCTTGCACCGAACATTGTGAAAGTGGACCTTATGATCATAATATTAGTAAATGTACTAATACATATATATCTAAAGATTTCAAAGCAGAAGCGTACTTTTAGAGCAAGGGCGAGCAACCTTTTTCATCCACGGGCCAATTTCAATTTTAAAATTTCATGGCGGGCCGCACGGGTTTAATATATATACTAGCTGACCCGGCGAACTATTTTTAGAAAATCATTAGTATAAAAAATGGCTAGCTAATTCTGAATGTACAAATATGTAGTATATAAATGAAAGGGGCAGCTAACACAAAAACACATTGATAATTTACCCAATGCAACGCTAAAATACTAACATCCATATTTGTATTATGTTATGCTATGCTCTTCTTTCATATCCAAAACAATTGTAGTTTGTCATTTGGGTCATATACTTCTTTAAGCATTGCATTACTATTAGGCTAACGAATTTTGGTATCAAAAAGGACATCGCCATATACACGCTTTAAATTCTTCAGGAATTCTTTAAATTTACCATAATTCAACCCTCGCGACTTCATAAGATTTACTTATTTAATTATTTTAAATTTGGAAATGCGTTATTGCTATGTTCTCGGACAAGTTCTCGATTTTTCTTGCAATATTGTTAAACTGACAAAAAAATTAGCCTTTACAGACGTATTTGATAAATTATCTGGAAAAATAATCTCTAGTTTAGAAACGCTTGGCGGGCCGCAGAAAAACACCCGGCGGGCCGCATGCGGCCCGCGGGCCGCGGGTTGCTCTTACTTGTTTTAGAGTACGCCTTTTCTGCGTAGTCGGGTGTTCTATTGAAAATTGTTGGTGGTCTTTCTAAAAACAAGTGTCAAAGTATGATTTGGAGAAGTCACTAAAATTAATATTTATGGGCTAAAGACATAAGAATACATATAACAATGTTTAATTTTCAGAAGTAAAAAGCTATATATTTCAAAATATTTCATACTAAAATATTCAACTATTATAAAATGTTATTATAATAACAGTAAAATTCTATATATTTTAAAATATTTCATGCTAAAATATTCAACAATTATAAAATGTTATTATAATAACATTTTATAATTGTTGAATATTTTAGTATGAAATATTTTAAAATGTATAGCTTTTTACTGTTAATATAATAATTTTATAATAACTGTTATTATAAAATGTTATTATAATAACATTTTATAATTGTTGAATATTTTAGTATGAAATATTTTAAAATGTATAGCTTTTTACTGTTAATATAATAATTTTATAATAACTGTTATTATAAAATGTTATTATAATCATTCATATAAACAAATATTTGTTTCAGAGACCGTATATCAATTTAATGAATTCAAATTTTTCTTCATATGGATCAATCGAGAATAAATCAAGCAAATTTCATAAAAATTCGGGAAACAAGTATCAATTTAAAATTTTCATCAAAACAATTATTAAAAATTAAACAATCGACAGGATGAGTGTAATGAAATAATATGAATATTTGTTCGTAATATATAAAGACTCTTTCAATCGTCGCATCTGTTTGATAAGTCGCGTATTGTTTTATACGTTTTATTGAAATCATTTCCAAAATTAATTTTTTTTAAATATTTTTCGGATTTGTATTGCTCGATCGGAGTGGAAAATATGTTTTTTTTTATTTTGTAGAATCGGTGTGGAATAAATTAAAATACTATTTTGCAAAATCTACTTTCCGAAATTATTAATCATATGTTATAATATATCTACTTATATTTTTAACTTTGTGTTTTATATAGTTCCATGCATAGACATATTAGATATAGGCAATACGAATACAATATTAGCTGCAGTTATATCGAAAA